GCCCCGCCCATGGCGCCACTGTGGCGCCGGCCGCCCGCCCCGCCCTCGGCTCCATATTGGTGGCGCGGCGGCCGCGGCTGAGCACAAAATGGAGGCGGCCCGGCCCGCGCAGCGCTTGGGTTTTAGTGGGGGGAGGCCAAAGTCGGGGTAGAAGGAACGTTCTGCGCGTCCGCAGAGCCTTGTAATGTGTCTGGAAGCCGCTCTGACAGCTTAGGGGGGAGAAACATTGTCTTGCCGACTAGAGGCAGGCTGGGCGGTCTTGCAGCTGCCCTCCCCACTCCTACCCGAGGAGTGCTGCAAAATGGCGCGCTCTCCTGCCGTGTCAGCTGAGCGGGAGGCAGCCTGACTCCGCTAGAGCAGGGTGGAAGTTACACTGAGGGAGAGATGTGTTCTGCAGGAATTTCTGTACAGGAAAGACTGCTGTTAGAAGTAACTGGCAACAGAACAATTGAGAAACAGCATCTTGTGTGATGGAGAACAGCACTCTGAAAAACCCCAGTGGGAACAAACTGCATTAAAAAATAGTTCCCTAATTCTCTAAGGAAATACTACCTTCTGTTTTTGTACAGAGTTCCTGTAAACTGTATGTGTCCTAGGGATAATTTTGGTACAATAGAAGCTTTAACAGCGGGTGTTACTCTTGCTGAATGAGAACAGCTGTTCTTGTGCACATAAAAACAATAAGCAGATAAGAACTTAACTTTTTCCTTACCTGATAAATTCTGTGGTCATTCTTTTAAGGTAAAAGTATTTTGGGTTAGCTGGAAACCCTCATACCCTTGAATAATATCAGAGAACTGTAAATAGTCTGTCCAGTTTTCCCTTACATAGGTTTCTGATTTTGGAGGAGTCTAAACTTGAGTTTCACATAAAAAATTTATTCCAATATGTGTAGAACAGTTTGAAACAGTGTTACCAGCTTTAACATAACCCAACTAAACATTAACAGTAGATTTTAAAAATTGCAATTAGCAACAGATAATGCTTGACCTAAAGCAGTTTCTGTATGCAGTAGGAATGTAATCCTCTAAAATTAAAAGTTTCAATATAGTGAGAAGGGTGATGTGTTTTCTTTAATACCTTTATAGTCTGGACTGCTTGGAAGGCACTAGAAGCTTAACTTTGTTGTCCTGGGACCATTGACTGTTAATAATTTATACGATAATCCTGAGGTAACAAAACCTTAAATAGAAGGCTGTTAACAAGCCTTATTTATTTAACAAGAATGGTGGGGTTCTTTCTAAGAAAACTCAGCAGGTGTAAGGGCAGGGATTTACTTAATAGACAGCTTTTCATAATCTTAGTTACTGTTTGCTGTAGTACAGTCTTGAGTATTAAAAACCAATGGTTTGCTAAAGCACTATATAATACAAGAAGTCTCACTGAAAGGGGCTTAAGCCTTCCTGGCCAACCCTAGCAGCATGGCAAAAGTTCAGGCACTTCAGATTTGAAGCTAAATGTCTACAGATAGAAGTCTGTGGCTGTTTTTATGTAGTTCACCTCAGGATAATGCTGTGTCTAGTCTGGTTTAATGCACTGCAGTAGAAACAGTGAAGCCTGTTGAACATCGATGCTGCAGAGCTGAAGTCATACGCAGCATAGCTGGCCAGCACCTTGTGCAGTGTATTACATGCACAAAAGTACCCACTTGCTAAATGAGATTTTAATCTGTTTGCGTTTTGTAAGACTTCTCTGACAATGGCAGTTGTGAAAAAAATTTTTGTGAACGCCTCATCAGATGTATGTGGAAATTGACTATCTGCTAAAAAAGAGCAGCACTGGAACAGAGCAGAAACACAGTTGTACTCTTAAGCCCATTTCAGTCACATGATAAAAAACTGGAATCTGAAAATTTGCATCTTTTAAAATGTAACTGGTCATACATAGACAGCGTTAGCAAAAACTATTAAACTTGTTGGTTCTGTGATGCTTGCTAAGTTACCAGTCTCATTCCAGTAGTTGTACCCACTGCTGGTCATTGGTGACTTGTTACTCATGGCATTTTTTTGTCTGTAAGGTGTAGGTTCATGTTGTCTGACATTTAAGAGGTATTTTCCGTAAAACTAAAATCCACGTATATATTTGCCCTTTCTTGCTTGCATATACTCCAATAATAAAATTACCAAAGTACAGAATATATAATTTCAAGGAGTTTAGTATTGATGTGTTTAACAAAAACGCATGAAAGTAGCCTGTCAAAAATGGACATCCCCAAAGAGAAGACACTCAGCCCAAGCAGCAGCCTTTTTTTCTTGTATACTGCGTCCTTAAATTCTTTGTAGTTCTGCATATTTGTGCTTTGTAAAGTGTTAGAACTTCCCTTTATCTAGCCGTGCTTCATCCCCTGTTGTGAGATCTGCAACTGAAAGATAGACACAGAATGAATGCACTTCTGGGTGGTGGGGAGCAGCTGAGTTATCTAGTATATTGAAATCCCTTTACTGTTTGCATTTAACGCTCTTTAAGTTGTTAGTATTTTAATTAAAATCACACTTCATTAAGTGTTTACTATTCTGCTGTCTAAACCCATTAGAAGTCATTGTTTTTATGTAAAAATGTATTTCACGTATTTGTAGTTATAATGTGCACAAATAATTTCTTGTAATTCAGTAAAATTTTAATTCTGTGATTTGTATTCAAAATCTGTTTCTGATTTTTTGATTTTGTAGGGCCATGAGCCAAAGGAGCCAGAGCAGTTGAGAAAGCTGTTCATTGGAGGTCTGAGCTTTGAAACAACAGATGATAGCTTGAGAGAGCACTTTGAGAAATGGGGCACACTCACAGACTGTGTGGTAAAGTCTCTATTATTTGTTTGTGCTTTTGAAAGGGCTAGGTACTTAAAGTAGCACAGAAATGCAAAGTGCCTCCTTGTGTGTTTGCAGGTGATGAGAGACCCACAAACAAAACGTTCCAGAGGCTTTGGCTTTGTGACTTACTCATGTGTGGAGGAGGTGGATGCTGCCATGAGCGCTCGACCACATAAGGTTGATGGACGCGTGGTTGAACCAAAGAGAGCAGTTTCAAGGGAGGTGAGTTTGTGTTCCAGTTAACCACATATCTTAATCTTTACCTACTACTTTAAGCACTGATTGTCATTTTTGGCATTGCAGGATTCTGTAAAGCCTGGGGCACACCTCACAGTAAAGAAAATATTTGTTGGTGGAATTAAAGAAGATACAGAAGAATATAATTTAAGGGAGTACTTTGAAAAATATGGCAAGATTGAAACCATAGAGGTCATGGAAGACAGGCAGAGTGGAAAGAAGAGAGGCTTCGCTTTTGTAACTTTTGATGATCATGATACAGTTGATAAAATTGTTGGTATGTAAGCTCTTCAGTAAGAAATGACTTACGGGATAAAAGTGTTAAGATCTCAGAAGAGCAGTGTGTGGAATGAGATGATTGCTTAATCAGCTGCTTTGTTATTGTAAAGGATTGGGTTAGTTTAATATTATTTTCCAAAGTGTGCCACATGCCTTACAGTAACTTTCTATGAAAGTTTATAGCATATTGCAGAGATGTGATATTTTAACTTTCCTTTTTCACTGTTTCCTGTAGTTCAGAAATACCATACTATAAATGGACACAACTGTGAAGTGAAAAAAGCACTCTCAAAACAAGAAATGCAGACTGCTAGCTCTCAGAGAGGTGAGTTGTAGTTGTGCATAGCTATTTTGTGTAACAGGTTTTCAATTAATGTAATTCAAGTGAAATATTTTGTAGGTCGTGGGGGTGGCTCAGGCAACTTCATGGGCCGTGGAAACTTCGGAGGCGGTGGAGGGAATTTTGGCCGAGGAGGAAACTTTGGTGGGAGAGGTAAATGATTGGAATATTAGTATAGAATGTGATTTACATTTTGGTTTGCTGTTGGGTTTTTTTTTTTTTTCAATTTCCTGTGTTAGTTGGCTTAAACATTTAATATGTTTGTTCAGGAAAACATTCTCATCTGTTTTGTGTTCTAGGAGGCTATGGGGGTGGTGGTGGCGGTGGTGGGAGCAGAGGAAGCTTTGGGGGTGGTGACGGATACAATGGATTTGGTGATGGTAAGTGTATTGTTCACTTCCTTTTCCCCCAATGTTAGAACCAGCTGTAAGTCTTGCCTTCACCATGGAAGTGAAATCTGTTTTGGTGATAACATGGTAATAGCAATAATGAAAATGAAATTCTACGTGGTAGAGCTGTGAAGAGTTAACTTTTTTTTTTTTGTTCTCCCCATAAAATGATGGGTGGAAAAAAATACTCATCTGTATTTACCCTTAAAAAAATCTCACATCACAAGGTCATGAGGAAGCTGTTTATTATTGAGAACTAAGTGAAAATTCTGATGTCAGTTGAGATGACTAAAACTGAGTAAAGCAATGAACAACTGTTTTCAGTCAACTCTTTAGACTTCTTCTTGTGGTTCAGTAGTGTCTTTTTCGCGATGCAGTTAGGACAAGTATCCAGAATGCATTGAAGAGAAATGCAGCAATTATCAGAAGGCTAAAAAATGCAATTACCAGAAAGTCAGAAGGGATGAGGGAAGTAGCATGTAATTAATTACTTAGGTTGTGATTTTATAAGCATGGGGATTTTTTCAAATAAATAGTTTAGATAAATTGTGCAACCACAATGAATATAATACAGGGAAAATATTGTGGGTGGGGCATTTTATTGTGCAAGTGTGTTGGTTTGGGCTTTTTTGTTAAATGGATATTACCAGTATTTTAGGTTTGGTGTATTAAGTTTGAATCTTCTTTTATTCAAAGGTGGTAACTATGGAGGTGGTCCTGGCTATGGCAGCAGAGGAGGTTATGGTGGTGGTGGAGGACCAGGATATGGAAACCCAGGTGGTGGATATGGAGGTGGAGGAGGAGGATATGATGGCTACAATGAAGGAGGAAATTTTGGTGGTGGTAAGATTCTAGCTTTAATTCTACATCCATGGTTCTTAGGTTTCATTTCACAATGCTTGAAATGTAGTAATTCATAAAATTAGTTGTATGTCTAGGTTTTAATACAGAATGCCCATGTTGCATTAGGAAAGTTCCTTTTCATGTGGATCAGCTTTGATAAACTACAGTGTTGTTTTGCCAGGGATGTATTCTTCAAAAAGCTTTGGCTATAAATCTATACATGAAGGCAGAATACAGTTTTTTTAATGGTTTTGACCATTTCCAGTATGTTATTGTTGGATACCAGTTCACAACATGTGGATCACATCCTCCTTTGTGAGGACTACAAATCCAGATTTTCATAAGCTTTTTTTATTGGTTTCCCCAAATTTGGGGAGTTAAGCTGCAAAAACTGCTGTGTATCTTACTATACTTCCTGATCTGTGTATGCAGCATGCCCATTACATTTATATAACTTTTTTGGAACAAATAAATTGTAATTTACATTATTGTCATACATGAAAGTTGTGCAGTAGAAGAATAATGGTGAAACTCACCGTTTTCTGATTTTGGGGGGCCTTAATTTGGCCTATTGAGAAATAACATCAAATTTGCTTTGATAAGCTACTCAAACGTACTTACAATGTGATGTGTTTCATTTTCAATAAAATATCGATTTCTAATCATAAAAATACCAAGGGTCTTCTGTTACTTTTGGCTTTTTGAATAGGGGTAGCATCAAAATAAAGGCACTTCGTTTTGAATTGTTCTGAACTACTACAGTTTATTTTTACATTGGATATTGGCGGGTTTTGTGTCCTAAGTGTTGAACAAACATGGCTTTATAAATTTGCTTCAGGTAATTATGGTGGAAGTGGAAACTACAATGATTTTGGCAATTACAGTGGACAACAGCAGTCTAACTATGGTCCCATGAAAGGTGGTGGCAGCTTTGGTGGCAGAAGTTCAGGCAGTCCCTATGGTGGTAAGTATGATTTTATACAGAAAATATTTTTGAGTTTAAATCCCTTGTTGCTCATGTATTTCAGCATACACACTGTTTTTTTAGGTGGCTATGGATCTGGAAGTGGAAGTGGGGGCTATGGTGGTAGAAGATTCTAAAAATGCTACTAGAAAAAGGGTAGGTGTAATGTATATTTATAATGATGATTAATAATGTACAACTGTTCACTGAGAGTAATAATTTTCTTATCCTGTATTCAACAGGCTACAGTTCTTAGCAGGAGAGAGAGCGAGGAGTTGTCAGGAAAGCTGCAGGTTACTTTGAGACAGTCGTCCCAAATGAATTAGAGGAACTGTAAAATCTGCCACAGAAGGAACGATGATCCATAGTCAGAAAAGTTACTGCAGCTTAAACAGGAAACCCTTCTTGATCAGGACTGTCATAGCCACAGTTTGCAAAAAGTGCAGCTATTGATTCATGCAATGTAGTGTCGATTAGATGTACATTCCTGAGGTCTTTCTCTGTTGTAGCTTTGTCTTTCTTTTTTCTTTTTATTTTCCCATTACATCAGGTATATTGCCCTGTAAATTGTGGTAGTGGTACCAGGAATAAACAAATCAATGAATTTTTAACTTTTCAATATTTGTGTAGTTCAGTTTTTCCACATTTAGTGCAGAGATCTCTATAACAGAAATGAAATGTAGTTTAGGGTGTTTCCTTGTTAGTTAATAGAGAAGATAAATGCATTTTTCAATTACTATTTTGTATTAATTTAAAGTTAACAATAGAAACACCTATTGATTTGCAGTCTTAAGGGGTCTAGTCTCAGTGTATATACGTAACTGTCATTGACATGAGTTTCATAGGCATACAGAGGGAAAACATCTGTATGTTACATTATAGTTTGTTTAGATGTATAACTAGGATTGAGTTACTCAAATTAGTGTTTGTGAATCATAGAGCTAAGCTTTATCTTAATGAAAACTTTAAATTACTTTTTGGTTTGTGCATATTTTTTTAATTTGTAGTTCTGTATTAGTACTAGCGCTTCAAGAAAAAAAAGGCATGATAAATATTTTAACAAGACCAACTTTAGACACATGAAAGCTGTCTCCCGTCTCATTTGAGATGCAAAAGGGATAACTGAAGTTGTTTAAGTCTTGGGTGGAGAGAAAAAGAAATTTGCTTTTTACCTTTATATTTATTGTAATTCCCGAGAAGTTAAGGTGGGGGGAATCAAGTGCCTGTTTCCTTGGGATATACAATGATTCTGTTTCAATAAAACTATACTTGGGGGAGGGTGGCTTGGAATTTTCATCCCCTTTGTCCCCATTTCCTTTTCCCTCACACCAGACTGCACTGTTTCAATTAAATGAGGCTTCATAGTGAGAGTAATAGGTATGTTACTCAATAATTTAATGGCTATATACTTTCTTGCATGCACCCTAGGCAATTTTCTGGACACATACTTCTGACTGGGAGCCAAGGGTAGCACAGGTGTAATCACTGACAGTCCCAGGTAATGCGTTCCAAAAGCCCATTCCCCATGGGCTCTTAAATAGAGTTCTTGAGCTGTTTCCCTGGCAGATGTCTGTGCTCAGCTGAGAGCTCAAAGATAAAGATAAAACATGATCTAGTTGTATTTTACCGACTAGAAGCACTCCCACAACATAGAGGGGTACGGTCCTGAGTTCTCACAGGTAGAATGATAGTGTGCTACAACTGGATTTGGTGCAGTGGAGTAGAAAATACGACCAGTACATGTGGCTAGCAATTGTACTTCATTCTCACTTCTGACCTCCAAATTAAGGCACTGCAGTCTGTCCTGTCCTCATCTGATGTGAATTCTCTTGACTATTGCCAGGCCAGTGCTTGCTGTAAATTCACTCAGAAGAGTAGGGACCCAGTCAATAAAAGAAATACTCAGACACTTGGCAATATGTATTGGAATTACTCACACCTGTTTTCACTTCTGGGTCAATGTGCAGAATAAGGTAAATGCAATTCCAGTGTAGGAATGAATCTGCAAAGATGTATGAAATGGCTTAAGGCATAATCAGTCATATTAATAATGAATTATAATTTTTAAGAAGTGGTAGAAAAATAAGTGTGTTGTTTGAAAAAAATTAAACATATGTTATTTAAACGCTGTTATTGGAGTGTATTTAGACTGCAGTACGCTAAAACAAGAAACCAGTGTCAAGATGGTAGCCTCCAAAATGGATTTCAAAGTCTGCTTATTCTTGTCTGTGGAGTTCTGAAAGATCTCAAAAGTTAAAGCAAGAATTGGTGGTTTAGTGAACGCTTCTGTTGTTGTACGTGTTCATTTGGGCTTGGGATGGGGGGGAGGCTGTACTTCAATAAAGGCATTTTTTAAACAACCCATTTGGAGTTTGAAAACATGGGAAACCACAACTCACTAGGGAGTGAGACACCTAACTACTGACATGCTTTGTACCTTACTACGCTAGAAGATGTGTAGACTTGCACCTGGGGCCTGCATCTGATTGCAGGGACAACTGGAGGATGGGGTTGATGTCCCTTCTGATAATTGATCTGGTATTTCTAAATTTTTTTAGAATGTATTGACAGTGTTCTTTTTAACAGGGCCTCTTGTAGCTGTACTGTGACTACAATGTTAACTTTGAAAAATAGTGTCATAATAAACTTTATGAACAAGATCTGTATGCAACCTTTTAAGAGATGGATGTAAGTGACCGCTTTGTAGGTGGGTGGGGTAGCTTAGCTATTGTTTGTGACGTGGAAAAGTGTAAGCCATGAGGACAGTGATCCGCCAGCTTTACAGAACCTAGGATGTACTTCTTTGATCCATACATTGCTAAGGAGACTCGTAAGACAGGACTTCAGCAGCCTATTGAGTATGGAGAAGTCAGCCTAATTAAAGAATGACAAGGCAGCAGGAGCAACAGCTTCAACTTCCAGAAAAGTGAAGGAATAAGATACTGTGCTGATAGTGAGCAGCTTTCCCAAGGCTAGTTAAATCTGCTTATCACAGCTGAAATATCGAAGAAAGTCTAGCAAGAGTTCTTCACCTTTTGGAACCTCCTTGAGTGATAGCTACTTGAGTTGACTCAAAATCAATAGGTCTAGCATTTAGACCTGAAAGGAAGGGCAATGAGCATAGGTAAGGTTTGCCTTTAAAATTTTTCATGAATTATAAAGAGTGGTGGGAGGTTTTTAAACAAGGTAAGAGTAATTTCTTTAATTTTCAGGTTGAATTGAGAAGCTGCTGCTTGACAAAATGGGGAATGTCTTGCACATCCTCTTCAAATGAAGGTTTCTGACTGGGTAAGATTTGTAGTGTATAGTAAAATGTGTTTAACCCTTACTTCCTTCTAGGCTTTCCTTTGACAGCCTTTAAATATCAAGGGAAGCCATAAGCACTAAGCAGCAAATATTCCAGCATATGTCATCCAGTGTTTCCTGTTCTGGATGGGGGCTGCTTGCTGGCAGAATTCCTATTCAAGAATCTTCTGTTCCTGGCAGATACAAAATTGCTTCATGTCCGAGATCAAGGAGACAAGTTGATGTTTTGAAATAATGTGCTTTGGTTATTCGGGAGTGTGCTGGGGTGGGGAGTGGGGGGAAACTGTTCTGTCCTTAGTCATGGAAAGAGGTGCCCCAGAGAAGCCCAGAAAGGCAGTGACACTTGAAGTGGTTCTTTGGTTCTCAGCAGTGTTGACCTGCTGCTGCACCCCTTCTGGGAGGGAGCTTGATATCTCAATATCGCTGAAAGCTGGGATTTCCCTCCTACTAGGGGTAGTGGATCCTGGTTTACCAGGTGATGTATTTACCTGTACAAATTAAAGAGCTCCCTTCCAGATTCTGGGTGCTTTCAGGCAGGATAGTTGAGGCTAATACTGTTATATGATACCCAGCTGAAATCACAATGGCATTTATACAGGCAAATTGAATGTCAGTAAAAACTCCTCATAGAATCTTGATTTTTATGCAGAGTGGAACATGTATTAAGTCTTAGAACATGTATTGTTTCCTTTTCTGCATATTTGATTGTCACAGGTCTTTTTATAAAGTATTTCAGCATCTATTTAAACTTTGCAATACATTTCTGAGCCTGTGCATTCTTAGGAAGTCAGTTTCTGTTTTAGTGTTGGTTATACTTCAGTTGCTCTGAAAGTAGTCAAATGGAACCTCCTAATCAGAGGCAGAGGCATGTTCACAAACTGTTTCAAGTCCCTAAATTTTATCTGCTGCCTGTAGACTCGCAGAAAGTAATTTCTGACTTTGTAATACACAGTTAAATGTGATTTGGAAGTAACATACAGAGATGTTCATAAAATCAGAAGCTACTTAATTTAAAATCTCCTGATGACTGCATATATTTTTTAAAGAAACATTGAGACAAGTTTGTGCTTAGCCAAGGTTGAGCCTAAATCTGAAACTGCAGCAGTACAGTCATGTTGCCTTAGTGTAATGTGCCAGCTTGTTGCTGAGGTGACAAGCTTGCTTTCTGGGACCTAAAAGTGGGAAACGTGTGCTTTTGCTCTGCTTGGCAGAGGTCCCACAAGCATCTGCACAACAGGTCATGAGGAACAGCACTGCCCCTCAGGTGCAGGCAAATGCATTTGCAGTGGTCTTTGGGGGTTTTTTAACAGTAAAATTTAAATCAAATTTAAAATTAATTAAAATTTAAATACCTTTCCTTAGAGGGTTCCACATTGCTGCAGACTTGTTCTGTGCTCTGGATGGGTCTTTTTGAACCAGATACAGAAATAGATACTGTTTGAACTATTTTCACAGTTTGATTTATAACACACTTGTTAAGACTAATGTGCTTAAATTCAATTATTTATAGCAAAATCTATTTAGAAATAACTTTGACCAAAAAGAACACATTCTTAAGGGAGTGCTTGGTCAATTATATCTCCATCCGAGGGGCACTTTAAGGAGTTAGGAGCAGTTTTATGGCCATGTTTTTGTTTACTGGCTTCTGTTGAAAATAGCAGCTTTAAATAGAGATGGAGATTAAAGATGCAAAGCTAGCAAAGTATTGGTCCCTAAGCTGCAGTTGTACAGAAATTTACTTGATAACAAAAATTATACTTCCAGGTAGACAAGGGGGTTTCCCCAAAAGCAACCCAGATTGCTGGAGGTTACTGTGCTATTACAGAAAATGGAAATTAAACACAGCATCTTAACTTCAATATCCTTTAAATACTTAAGGTTCCTCATCTTATCAAGCATTGATTGTGTGATGTACTGATGTGCTGTCTTTGGTTCCTGTGTTTAAGACATTAATGTGTTTTCATGTACTGTCTATACTGAGGTGGAATATTCACAAATCAGGGTGTGGTCTCTGACAAGTGTGTGTATCTTAAATTGTGTGGAGCATGTAAGATCTTGAGTATCACTGAAATTCACATATCTGATGGATGATTCTTTTTTTGCTGTGGGTGCTACAGGTTGACATCTCTCTTTATTAGCTTTTTCCTGAACTAAAGTAATCCAAGTATCTGCACAGAAGAAAAAATGGCCTTCATGTAGAAGATAATATCGCAAGATTGGAAACAGAATAAAATGGTAAAACTGGCAAAGACATCAGGAGCAATGGTGCTAGTGTGCTGACACATCTTGAAACTTGTGATTAAACAAGTTAAAATAGCATGGCAATTTAAAATTTCAGTATAGTCCATAATGGATTGAAATTTGTTAAAATACTTCAATTTTGTATCAGAATAAAGTGTATATTGTCAAATGACTTACAATATAAAATGCATTGTCATCACCTTTTTTTAATGCTGTGAAGAACACAAAGTCATCTAGAATTATTGCAACACATTTTCTTACAGGATCATCTTTACAACTTTGGACTGCAAGCCAAAAACCCTTGGTTCAGGCCAGCTTTTCAGCTTTATTTTTAATAGTTTTAAAATGCACTGTTTTGATCAAGAAACAAATGCTCTCCATGTGGCAGCTTGTCACTGTATGAGGTCAGCTTTGATACTTTCAACTTGGCAGTGTCACTAGTTACTCAGGTTTGGGAACATTCTCTGTATCTCAGTAATAATAATAAAAATAAAATGAAGGTTAGAGTTTGCAATCTGATGTTTCTATATATATGAGTAATGTGGATATTTTTTTTCCTTAATGAGATTGGGTTCAATGCAAGAGCAGCATGCACTGTGTTGGTGATGTGAAAAACACTGGGTTAAACTGAATGCAAGTTATCACAGACCAAGTTTCTTTAGACTGATTCTTCACATGATGAAATTCAAACAAGGCTGCTGGATTAACTGCAGCTTTTTTGCCATTGCTCTTTTGTTTTGGTAAAGGAAGAAGTATCTTTGTATTATGTTTTAGACAAATGGATGGTACAAATACAGCAGTCCCTGCAAAGGCTGTAAGGATTTGGTTTGCCTTTGGCTTTCACATTAGTGAACAAATTAAGGAACAAATGGAAATGCAGGGCAGGATTTTACTGAGATGTCTGTTTTATAGCAAATTTGTAATTAAAGTATTGATATTGCAGCTGTAGAGAGAATTTTCTCTGACATTTGAGACAATTTGAGAGTAGTAGTTAATGGTAGAAATGGTAGTTAAAGGGGAACCCAGGAGCTTTTTAGGTTCTCTGTGCTTTGCCATCAGCCCCTGGCTGTGTTTTAAGAGGTACTGTGTATCAGCGTTGAAAGATTGACTGGGGCCATGGCATGGTGTGCTTCTTCCTTGATGCCTATGATCTAAAAATCCCATATTCCAATATGGATTAGTCCTCCTGCTTTCAGTGGAAGCAGTGTCTTGCATTCCCCCAGTGCCTGCCCATGATAGAGACCATCAGTGGCAAGAAAAAAGTCTCACTTTAGTTCAAGTATGCCTTTTAGAACTTTCACGTGGATGAATATAGTTTTAATGTTCAGATCAACATGTCTTACAAATCAGGCATTTTCTGTATTGAAAAAATCCAAAATGATCAAGTGCAATGAACTCCACTGAGTAGTAACCAAAACAATGCTATTTTTTTGCCCATTTTTTATTCTTTTATAAATCATAATTTAAACTGCACAAAGCTTTTCAATTCACTAAGCAGAGATTGCAAACAGGGCAAGTGGCTGGCTGCTAATATACAGTTTTCCATAAGCACCAAAGTAACAGCAGGGATGCATGATGCACGTCGATTGACGTCAGGCACAGTAGTGTATTTCTAGGAGAATTGCACAAAAGCCTACAGAAATTTTAGCTAGGAAAAGGCATAATGCTGACAATGCTTTAACATGTAAGATTTTAAATGCCTTTGGTGAAAAGATCTCATGGATTTACATAGTG